CAGTGGAAGATGAGGTTAAGAGGTGGGTCTGTAGAGATGCAATGGCAGAAGTTTAAGAAGATATTTCAGAATACTCAGATAAAATATATTCCTGTGAGAAATAAAGATTCAAAGAGAATAAGGCACAATCCATCCCTGAGGAAAGAAGTTAGAGGTAATATCAACTTGATAGAAAACGTTTATAATTCCAAACAAAAGGAATGGAATATGAGTTTTTTTTTCCATGTTCACACGTACAACAGGTCTTTCTACTCGCACGCATCCTCTAGGGGAGCGTCTTTTATTTTATAATGTCCATGTTTTTTTTCTAACTAAATGTACCAGCTCACACATATTCACAAAGGACTTCATCAGCCAAAGAGGCAACCTACCTCTTTGTCATGGTCCTCTGCCCTCATTTTGAAATCACATTTACTTCAGTATCCAACACAAACTGAAAGTCAAACCTGACGGACTAACAATGGAGAATGAGTTACTCACTGACACAAATAGCGTTCGGCTCAGTTCCAGATTTACTACAAACGAAGAAGTTTCACTGGGACATGATTTCGAAATTTTGTTTGTCTTTTATTTGTCTCTGTCTCATTCCGTGGCCCTGTTGATGCCGTTAGAAGGTGTAGTCACTGAGATATAATCACTCTGGATCTTGCTATGCCTGTTCTCAGTGTACTGGGAGAACCTCCAGGTTGGAAGGCCCTGTTTGCTAGGGGTGAGCAGTGAGCCACTGAGCGACTCTGCAATCCTGCTTTCAGCAGGCAGCGGGAGACTGGGGAGTGCAGTGCTGGGATATTGCCGTTTATCTGCTTTTCTTGGTCTCACTCCCAGTGGTGTTGGGGTTGACTGAATCCAATCACTTCCTAGATTTTCAGTAGGTTAGGGACATGAACATTAGACACATGGTGTGTCCATTTGTTTACTTATTACATTTGGAAGAAATCGTCAGATAAAATGTCAGGGGGTGGGATTTGATGGTGATGGGGTGTCCGTGAATAATCTCAGAGCTGTCAATGTTTGGGCAATATATTGTTGGAGCCATTTCCCTCTCCCCCTCCCCCAAGTGACCGCTCCAATTGGCCAAGGTAAACGCTAAAGCCATCCCCTCGGATGGTTCGAGCCACCAACGTTTCAGTTCACAGCTGAGCACGCAGGCCAACTGCAACACAGAAATTGATTGCAATGAATGATGCACAATCCCCAAAACCAGGGAAGTAGCGTGATCAGGTTTCAGATTCAGAATGTGATTCAAACTGAATTATAATTGTCCTCCATCAGTTTTACTGTTCCAATATAAAGGCTGTGGTATTCATTGTGGAGACAAGGAAACAGTCTGATCCCACTCACTCCACAGTCATCCGTGCCACCTAGAACCAGCTCTCTTGCAACCATCGTTGGAGACATTGTATATTGCTAGGCTACAGGCATTCTGGAAATAGTACTGAAGACTTATGCCCCAGAACATGTGGCTCCCCTTGCCAGTCTGTTCCGGTAGTTACAACCCTAGCATCAACCAGACAATATGGAAAATTGCGCAAATATGTCTTGTACATAAAAAGCAGGACAAGTCCAACCCAGCAAATTACCGCCCACATCAATCTACTCTCGATGATCAGTAAACTGATGGAAGATCAATGGTGCGATCAAGCAGCACCTGCTCAGTAATAACCTGCTCAGTGACACCCATTTTGGGCTCTGCCAGGATCACTTAGCTCTGTACCTCATTACAGGTTTGGTTCAAACATGGATAAAAGAGCTGAATTGTAGAGGTGAGGAGAGAGTGACTGCGTTTGACATCAAGGCTGTATTCGACTGAGTGTGACATCAAGGAGCCCTGGCAGAATTGGAATCAATGGTAATACGGGGGCAACATTTCTGGCGGTCAGATTCATGTCTGACATATAGAAAGATGGTCGTGATTGTTGGAGGCCAGTCATTTCAGCTCCAGTACTTCCCTGCAGGAATTCATCAGGGTAGTCTTCTAGGCCCAATTATCTTCAGCTGCTTCATCAATGACCCTCCTTCCATCATAAGGTCAGAAGTGGTGATGTTCACCGATGATTGCATAATGTTCAGCACCATTCACGACTACTCAGATACTGAAGCAGTCCATGTCCAAATGCAACACGATCCAGACAATATTCAGGCTTGAGCTGACAAGTGGCAAGTGACATTTGCGCTGCACAAATGCCAGGCTATGACCATCACCAACAAGAGACAATCCAACCACTGCTGTTACAATCCAACAACAATGGTGTTATGATCACTGAATCCCCCACTATCAATATCCCCATTGACCAGAAACACAACTGGACTCACTACATAAAAACAATGGCTATAAGAACATGTCAGAAGCTAGAAATACTACAACGAGTATCACACCTTCTGACTACCCAAAGCCTATTCACCATCGACAAGGCACAGGTCAGGAGTGAGATGGAGTACTACCCACTTAACTCAATGAGTGCAGTTGCAACAACACTCAAGAAGCTTGACACCATTCAGGACACAGAAGCCCGCTTGATTAGCACCACAACCACTTGCACCCATTCCCTCCACAGCCGATGCCCAGGAGCAGAATGTGTGCTACTTACAGGCTGAACTGAAAAAATTCACCGAAGATCTTCAAACAGCATTTTCTAAACCCACGACTTCTTCCACATAAAAGGGCAAGGACAGCAGGTGCATGGGGACACGACCACCTTCAACTTTCTCTCCAAGTTATTCACCATCCTGCCTTGGAAGTATATCGCTGTTCCATCTCTGTCGCTGGGTGAAAATCATGGCATTCACTCCCTAATGGCATTGTGGGTCAACTCACAGCAGGTCGACTGCAGCGCTTCAAGAACATAGCTCACCTCCGCCTTCTTAAGGGTCACTAGGGACAGACAGTAAATGCTGGCCATCCAGCAACGCCCACATCTCACAAACGAATGAATGAATGAATAAATAAATAACTAGACGGAGACTTGTTTTAACATTGGTTAATGGCAAATGGGCATCGCTGGCTCGACCAGCATTTATTTGCCATTTAAACTGCCTTGACAAAACTGAGGTTGATCTGCCTCCTGAGCTGCTGTTTTCCTTTGTTTATCTGTAAACTCAGTGCTGTTAGTGAGGCATTTCCAGCATTTTGACCAAAGAAATGGAGATAACGGTTCTGAATCAGGATAGTACGTGGCCGGACGGGACCTCTCAGGTCATATTGTTGCCATTTATCGGCTGCCTACATCTTTTCAAGTGGTAGGTGTCGCAGGTTGTGAAGGTACGATTGATAGAACCTGCAGTGCAGCTTGAAAACGTTGCACTTTGGTGCCATAATTCATTGTTAATGAAGGAAGTGGATCTTACATATGATGGATGAGGTACTGGTCACGCGGAAGATTTAATCCTAGCACGTGCCAATCTTAAGTTTTCTTTGAGCATCATTTTTTCAGGCTTTTTGTTTTTGGTCGCTTTCTTTGTTCCATTGTTACTCCAAACCAGATCAGTGTTTAATGATTTGTTAGATATGTACCCCAGGAGAGCCCACCTGAAGGTATTTTGAGGAAATAGTTATTTTTAGCACGATCAGTGGATCAGTGGAATGATTGATAGAAGATAAAGCAGAAAAAAGAGACATTATTCAGTTAAAAAAAATCTGTGACAAGTTGGCACTGTGCAAAACACGAGTGAATTCATAAAGGTTAATGTGACAGAGATTAACCGACTTGCTTCACAGTTCAATGCACACTTGCTCAAATATAGACATATTTACCAAATCCAGTTAATCACTGGAACATAGACGATTCTGTCAACCGTTCCCAGACATGCATTCCCACATAATGCGCAAGCAATTTGAAATTTTGCACAGGTACATAATGTAAACAACAATAAATATAAGCTTCCAACTAAAGAGTTAATTCATTCTCACAGAAATGACAATGTATGTCACAACTAATAATATCTGGATAGTCATTAGGAATATGATACACTGATAAACAGAAATCAGCCCTCGTAGAATTGGAACTGCGATAGTATCTGATTCTATATGCCGTGATAATACTATGGCTTTAAGAGGTGTATGTTGTCCCTTTTTTGAAGAGAGGTTGAGACAGAGGCGCAGAATGGCTTGCTTCAAGCAAATGAATTAAACAGCTTGTGAGACCTTGCTTTTGTTTTAAGCTGCAACAACAGAAGCAGCTTGATTGGATGGGGTCAAACTCCCACAGTACCACAAATTTTCATTTCGCTTTCAGTAGTTGTTGGAGTTGTGAAAGTTGATACCTTTCTCTCTCTCTCTCTCTAAAAGGTTGGGTTCTCTTCCTGCTGCTAGAATTGCATGTGAGACAATCTATTTTAATCAATTTTCCTTTGCCAAGGGTGTGTTTACGGGATGCTACTATATTTGGACCAGTTGCTGTTCAGTAGTTAAATAATCTATTATTCTGTTAAGTTTTCCAATAGAGAAGTTGTTCCAGTCCTTTCTTTTGTTTGTCTTTTAACTATAC